TCGACAATGACACAGCCAGCTGTGATAATGATGGCAGAGAAGTCTCACCTTATCAGAAAACAAGACATGACCTGCAAAAAGCTAACAAAACAAAATGAGAATTTGTGTCTGTAATTAACCACAGGCACACAACCTGCCAGCCTCTTGGTGACACACGTACCTCCAAGCTTATCGGTAAACTAACAAACCAGTTGTAGGAAGACTAAATAACTGGTAATTGCTGTTCTTTTCGCTGGAATATAAATTATGCCCTAGCTCAGTGCTCATTTTTTTTATGAACGGATCTGATGTACGATAAAAACAAACAAACAAACAAGACAACAACAACAAATCTGCACTTATAGTAAGCAGATTTTTTTGATGAATGATCTCATGTTGGTTAAACGATGGCTGCAGCGGCACTAAACTGTTAACGGATAATTAAACTGAGCTCACAGTGCAATAACTTATTGGCAGTTTGGACGTTTTAGGGTTTTGTTGCATAATTGTATGAATTGCTGTAACTGACAGTTTAAGTGTATGAGTAGTTATATTTCAGCTGAGGGTGACTTTAATGGGAAGAGACAAATTCCAGATCGTAATAGTGTTTGTAACGTCAAAATAAGTTTGACAAAAATGTTAGAAAATGTTTCTCATAACGTGCAGGTTATGTCTGCGGAGTCACGCCGATGAAAAAAAGAAGTGGAATATAATAGATAAATGCGAGCAGTTTTCTTCCTTTGTGACTTTGTTTAAGTAAACATCCTAAAAGGACGCGTGGGACTCCTCCACGTCACACTGAAAGCTGAACACGCAGCTGCTCAGCAGTAGCGATCAGGGAGCAAACTGATGCATTTTATATTCCCTGACTTTACTGATGTGCAAAATACTGGAGGCCGTTATGACATGTGGACAGAAGTAGGTTAATATAATATAATCAACTCTGATTTGATGTTTTCATAACGAAAAGACATTAAAGTTGGCTGTTGGTGCTCGTTCATCTGACCCTACAATAAAAGCTCTTGTCCTTCCTCACCTGTCAAACATTCCCGAGTCCACGGCGGCCCTCAGCACCCACCCGATGAGCGGGACCCCGGCCAGCATCTTGATGTTTTTCAGCGGGATCCCTTTGCTCCCACCTCGAGCTAAAATTAAAGCTGCTATGTGACTCTTGTCATTCCGCGGCATCTTGTTCGATGACTGACTTTCGTCTAACGAGGTCTCATTGTTTCTCCGTCTAGCGGATGCCATAACGACGTCAAAGATCTACTCCTACGAAGCAAGGTCTGGGTTTATCCGGGTGACTTCCGTGGCCTACTATGAAGGTGGCTCACTTATTACCGACATAAATCGCTATGATAACCTGTGCAGTAGATCTACCTGCTCCGGAGCAGGTTAAGTAAAATATCAGAGAGCAACAGGTGTGAAAGCACCGCCCACCGACCAATCAGGTCTCCGGAACACAGCGTCATCATTAATGAAAGATTCCTCAGCCCTCTGCAGGGAGAGGAGGCGGGTTTATAGTTTGTTCTATGCTCCTTATTATATGAGCTGAACCAGGACATACGCACTGTACCGACCTGTGTGTGTATTAATGTGGTGATTTGGAAAATGTATTAAATTTTATTCTCCTCGCTTACATTTTGCTGTACCTGCAGCTGTTTGAACAGCGAACACACACCAGGAACACCTGTTCAATCAGTAACATTAACTGTGATCTGCAGACAGACTGAAGCAATACCTCTTTTTCCTAACCGGAATAAGAGGTTAAAAGAAGGGTAGGGGAACTGCAGTCAGGAAATGAAAAGAGCTGTCCGCTGTTTGAAACTACAATTTGAATGAGATGGATTCAGCAGGCAAAGGATAAAAGCCTGTAAAAAAAAAAACAAAAAAAAAAACAAACATCGGTTACAATGGCTGTGATTTTAAAGAACCAAACGTTGGCTCTTACCTAAAATCCTTCACTCAGCCCTCACACTGAGTGTTTAGATGCCAGCCCCATTTATTGCTCTGTTATTGTTGATTTTTCCAGCAGCTCTCTGACCTTATAGAGCGGTTTTCGTTTCTCTTGTTAAGAATACGATGTCCTCCCTCACACTCACTGATAATATCACTGAGATCTGGATGTTTATTGATTATATCTTGCTCCTTCAGATTATCTTCACGGGTCAACAAGGTCATTGTGTAACGTGCTGCTTGTTCACCAAAGGTATTTTGAATTACTTTTTCCTTCTTGGTGAATCTGAAAAAACAACAAAAGAGAACAATCTCTCTATTCACCTCCTTTTCAGTTAGTCCAGTTTCCGTACCAAATTGTGAAACACAAATCAGTTTAAAATGACGAAATTTACAAGCTGCTATGAAACCAGATGCTTAACTGTACTGCATGCTTTTA